ATGAACTCGTAGACTGTTAGTGGAAATGCAAATTGGTGCAGCCACTGTGGAGAACAGGATGGAGGCTCTTCAAAAAATTAAAAATAGAATACTATATGATCCAGTAGTTCCACCACTGGGAATTTACCCAAAGAAAACAAAAGTACTAATTCAAAAAGATACATGCACCCCTATGTTTATTGCAGCACTATTTATAATGGCCAAGATATGAAAGCAACCCAAGTGTCCATTGACAGATGAATGGATAAAGAAGATGTAGTGTGTGTGTGTATGTGTGTACACATACTTGATAGAATATTACTCAGCCATAAAAAAAGAATGAACTCTTGCCATTTGCAATGACATGGATGGACCTAGAGGGTATAATGCTAAGTGAAGTAAGTCAGTCAGAGAAAGACAAATACCATATGATTTCACTCTATGCAGGATTTAAAAACAAAACAAATGAACAAACAAGAGACAAAAAAATCAGACTTCACTACAGAGAACAAACTGTTCATTGCCAGAGGGGCATTGGGTGAGGGGATGGGTGAAATAGGGGAAGGAAATTAAGAGTGTACTTATCTTGATGAGCACTGAGAAATAAATAGAATTGCTGAATCATTGTATTATATATCTGAAACTAATATAACACTGTATATTAATTATACTTCAATAAAAAAAGAAATAAACATTAGAGGGATCAATAGGTTTGTATGACATCTCTTGGGGAATGGTTTATAGTGTCAACTCAAACCTTTGATCTCAAATCTTTGGGACCTTGTGATTCGGTTGAAAACTCAACCAAATGAAGAATCATTAAGTTTGTATTCAGTTCTTGCCTCAGTAAGGAGATTTGGGACATCTCACTGGAGTCCCTGCCCCTGGCAGAGCACCATACAATCAGGAAGAAACCTTAGCTCCAGCTTCTTCAAGTGGAGGGAAGGGGTTGGTTCATGGTTCAGCACTCCAACTTTTCTGAGGGAGACCCTCTGAGGACTGGCTTCCATCTTGCTAGTCTTGGAGCTCTGCTGGATCTAGCATAATCTAGGAGAGGGAGGTTTAGACAGGTAGATGCCACAGCCCATTTCACACTTCCATGGTTCAGCACACATCAAGCAGACCAGAACCATAGCAGCCTTCTTCCCCCTAGGGAAGGAGAGAGTTGGTAGAGGCCAGGCCTATTGTTGGGGGTCTTCTCCTGTATGAGGCCAGTCAATGAAGACTAGGAAAGGTGCCTACTTTGTGTAATATGCAGACACCAACACAGAGAATCAAGCAAAGTGAAGAATCAGGCATTGTTGTTCTAAACAAAGTAAGGTGAATCTCCAGAAACTGATCCTAATGAAACAGAGTTACATGATTTACCTGATAGAGAATTCAAAATAACAGTCATAAGGATGCTCACTGGGGTCAAGAATACAATGCATGAACAAAGTGAGAATTTCAGTAGAGATAGAAAATATAAAAAGTACCAAACAGAAATCATGGAGCTAAAGAACACAATGACTGAATTGAAAATTTCACTAGAGAGGTTTAATAGCAGACTAGATAAGGCAAAAAAAAAGGATAAGAAAAAAAGGGTTCAGCAAACTTGAAGACCAGTCATTGGAAATAATTCAGTCAGAGGAGCAAAAGAAACAGAAATGAACAAGACAGTTTAAAGGATTTATGGGATACCATTAAACAGATTAATGTGTGCATTTATGGGAGTCCCAGAAGGAGAAGAGGTAAAAAGGACCAGAATGTTTATTCAAAGAAAAAATGACTGAAAATACCCCAAATAGGTGGAAACACCCCTGAAAAAGAATCCAAAGAAATCTACATCAAGACTCATTATTATCAAATTGTCGAAAGTCAGAGATAAAAAGAGAGTGAAAAACAAGAGGAAAGTGACTTGTCACATGCAAGGGGACTCCTATAAGCAGCAGAAATCATGTAGGCCAGAAAAGAATGAGATAATATGTTCAAAGTGCTGAAAGAAAAAAATCCTGCCAACCAAGAATAGTGTACCAGTATTTTCACTGCAGCATTATTTATAATAGCCAAGATACAGAACAACCTAAATGTCCATCAACCAATGAATGGACAAAGAAAGTTTGGTTTAAATATACAACTGGATATTATTCAGCCATTAAAAAAAAGGAAATTTTGTCATTTGTGACAACATGGATGGACTTCAAGGGCATTATGGTAAGTAAAACAAGTCAGGCAGAGAAAGACAAATACCATCTAATTTCACATGTGCAATCTAAAAAAGCAAAACAATAACTAAAAAACAGAAAAAACAAAAAGAAAAACCAAGCTCATAGATACAGAGAACAGAGTAGTGGTTGCCAGAGACAGGAGTAGGGGTAGAAGAAATGGGTGAAGGGAATCAAAAGGTACAGACTTCCAGTTACAAAATAAATAAGTCATGGAGATATAATGTACAGTATATTTTCTATAGTTAATAATACTGCATTGCATATTTGGAAGTTGCTAAGAGAGTAGATCTTAAAGTTCTCATCACACAAAAAAATTCTGTGACCATGTAAGGTGATAGATGTTAATAGGCTTATTGTGGTGATCATTTCACAAAATGTACAAATATTGAACCATTATGTTGCATACCTGAAACTAATACACTATTATATGTCAATTATACCTCAGTTAAAAAATTGACAAATCCATGGGGTGCCTGGCTGGCTCAGTCAGGAGAACATGTGACACTTGATCTCAGGTTGTGAGTTCAAGTCCCATGTTGGGTGTAGAGATCACTTAAAAATAAAATCTTTAGAAATAATTGACAAATCCTTAGTTGGACTAAGAATAAAAGAGAGAAGACAAATAAATAAAATCAGAAATGAAAGAGGGGACATTACTACTGATGCCATAAAAATAAAAAGGATCATAAGAGATTCCTATGAATAATTATAAACCAACAAATTAGATAACCTAGAAGAAATGTATAAATTCCTAGAATCATACACTAAATCATGAATAGGAACTCTAAAGAAACTAATAACTATATGGAAATTGAATCATTATCAAAACTGTCCTAAGAATTAGAAGCTCAGGACCAGATGGTTTCACTGTTGAACTCTATAAAACATTTATTTTTTAAAAGATTTTTTATTTACTTATTTTGAGAGAGAGTGAGCGAGAGAGCGAGAGAGAGCATAAGAGGGGGTTGGAGCAGAGGGAGAAGCAGACTTCTCACTGAGCAAGGAGCCCAATGTGGGGCTCTATCCCGGGACCCCAGGATCATGACCTGAGCTGAAGGCAGAAGCTTAACCGACTGAGCCGCCCAGGTGCCCCTCTACAAAACATTTAAAGAAGAATTAATGAGAGTTCTTCTCAAACTATTCCAGAATATTGAGGAGGAAGGAGCACTTTCAAACCCATTTTATGAGACCAGCAGAACTCTGATACCAAAGCCAGATATGGACACCATAAGAGAAACTTACAGGTGAATATCCCTGATGAATATAGATGCAAAATCCTCAATAAAATACTAACAAACTGAATTTAACAGTGTCTTGAAAGGATTGTACATTATAACCAACTAGGCTTTACCTGGGGTGAAAGGATGATTGAACACGTGAAAATCAGTCAGTGTGATATACTACATTAACATATAAAGGATAATAATCACATGCCCATTTTAATGCAAAAAGGCAGTTAAAAAATTCAACATCCTTTCATGATGAAAATTCTCAACAAACTAGAAGTAGAAGGAAAGTACCTCAACATAATAAAGGCCGTATATGACAAGCACATAGCTAACATTGTACTTAACAGTGAGAAGTTGAAATCTTTTTCTCTAAGATCAGGAACACAAGGATGCCAACTTTCACCAACTATGTTGGTCTAGTCAACATAGTACTGGAAGTCCTAGCTAGAGCAGTTAGTCAAGAAAGAGAAATAAAAGGCATCCAAATTGTAGGGGAAGAAATAAAACTGTTCCTATTTGCAGATGACATGATATTATGTATAGAATACCTGATTCCGCCAAAAAAACTGTTAGAACTAATGAATGAATTCAGTAAAATTGTAGGATACAAAACCAGCATACAAAAATCAGTTGCATTTTTTACATTTACAGTGAATTATCTGAAAAGGAATTAGGAAAACAATCCCATTTACAGTGACACCAGAAGGAAAGAAATACTTGGGAATAAACTAAGAAGATGAAAGACTTATAATACTGAGAACTACAAAACATTGATGAAAGAAATTAAAGAAGATACAAATGGAAGGGCATCTGGTGTTCATGGATTGAAAGAATTAATATTGTTAAAATGTCTTTAATACCCCATCTACAGATTCAATGCAATTTCTGTTAAAATCCCAATGGAATTTTTAAAAAACAAATTAAAAAAATAATTCTACAATTCATGTGGAACCACACAAAACTATGTATAGCCAAATGAATTCCAAGAATGACAAAGCATTGCATTTCCTGATTTCAAAATATATTACAAACCTGCAGTATTCAAAACAGTATGGTCCTGGGATTAAAAATAGATTTATAGACCAATGGAACAAAATAGAGAACCCAGAAATAAATCCATAATTACACCATCAAATAATTTTGACAAGGATGCCAAGAATGCACAATTGAGAAAGGATACTCCCTTCAACAAATGGTGCTGGGAAAACAGGATATCCACATGTAAATGAATGGAAATGGACTGTTATTTTATACCACATACAAAAATTAACTTAAAATGGAATAAAGAGGGCGGCTGGGTGGCTCAGTTGGTTAAGCGACTGCCTTCGGCTCAGGTCATGATCCTGGAGTCCTGGGATCGAGTCCCGCATCGGGCTCCCTGCTCGGCAGGGAGTCTGCTTCTCCCTCTGACCCTCACCCCTCTCATGTGCTCTCTCTCATTCTCTCTCAAATAAACAAATAAAATCTTTAAAAAAAAAAAAAAGAAATGAGGGTGAGGCTGCATGCACTAGGATTGATGCCAGTTTCAGAAAATGGAATTAGAAGTGAGAACAATGCCAAGGTAAACAAGCCATCTTTTACTTACAGCTGACACGTGCTGCAAGAGACACATGACATCTATCATGTCTGCGAGGATGAGGAGTCTGGTAACTGCAGCCAACAAGGCACGGGCAGCTTGAACCACAGCCTCCCTTTTGGGGAGGTAACAGGGATCATCTGCAAATCTCTCAGCTGATACTTTCAGAGCTTCACCTGAAAAACACAACCCAAAATAATATACTTTAAGTTTCAGCTATACCGGTTTAAGCATTTATCATCCTAATTCCAAGTACATTCCATGACTAAGCATAATATTAAAATAGTGTCTGTTGACACTAGAATACTGTCTCTTAATAAACAATGAAGTTTAAAATTGACACTTGTTTTTAATAAATGCTCTGGAGTTTAAGAAGCATGGTAACATTTTCCTGCAAGAGAACTGTGCTCAATTGACTAGCAACATCTAGTAAAATTGCTGTCAACTTCTGCATTTGCTGAATCTCATTTGTTGTAAAAGTTTCATTACTACAACTTCAGTTGGAAACAATCTTGTTTATAAAAATAAGGTAAATCTTCATTGAGTTACTTTCCAAGTCAGTGTTAGAAAAGAACAGGACAGGAACTCTCTGATAAAAGTTTAACATAGGCAGATTTATCCTAAACTGTCAATATAATAACCTACATCATGAACTTAGTCACAGAAATTATATATCATAGTACATAACTGTTAGAAAAATATGCCTAAAACTTTTAAGATTTTTCATTGAAAATACATCTTATGATAAAAACAATGTGTCCTCATTCATTTTTGAAAGTTCACAGTTCAAGGAGTCCAAGATGGCAGAGGAGTGAGAGACCTTAGTTTCTTCTGGTCCAAGGAATTCAGCTAGATAGTTATCAAACCATTCTGAACACCTGCGAACTCAACCAGAGGTCTAAGAAAAGAATACCTGCAACTCTACAAATAGAAAAGACACACTAGACATATAACCACTTTCTGAAAGAATGACAAGATGGAAAAACTCAGCTCAAAAAAGAGAACAAGAGGCAGTACTGACTGCCAGGGACCTAATCAGTTTGATATAAGATTTCCAGAATAATGATTATAAAGATACTAGCTGGGGTTGAAAAAAATACTAAAAAGACACTAGAGAATCCCTTTCTGGAGAAATAAAAGAACTAAAATCTAAACAACTGAAATCAAAAAGGCTATTAAGGAGATGCAATCAAAAATGGAGGCTCTAACTGCTAGAATAAATGAGGCAGAAGAGAAAATTAGTGATATAGAAGACCAAATGATGGAGAATAAAGAAGCTGAGAAAAAGAGAGCTAAACAACTACTAGATCACGAGGGGAGAATTGAAGAGATAACTGATACCATAAAGCAAAACAATATTAGAACAATTGGGATCCCAGAAAAAGAGGAGGGGGGGCAGAAGGTATATTGGAGCAAATTATAACAGAGAACTTTCCTAAGCTGGGGAAGGAAACAGACAATCAAGTCAAGGAGCCACAGAGAGCCCACCTCAAAATCAATAAAAATAGGTCAACACCCCGACATTTAATAGTGAAACTTGCAAATCTCAGAGACAAAGAAAATCCTGAAAGTAGCTTGGGACAAGAAGTCCTTAACCTGCAAGCGTAGAATCATTAGACTGGCAGTAGACCTATCTACAGACTGGGCAGGCCAGAAAGGACTGGCATGATAAATTCAGGGTGCTAAATGAGAAAAATATGCAGCCAAGATTATTTCATCCAGCTAGGATGTCATTCAAAATAGGAGAGATAAAAAGCTTCCAGGACAAACAGAAACCAAAAGAATTTGTGATCACTAAATCAGCCCTGCAAGAAATACTAAAGGGGATCCTTTAAGTGAAGGGAGAGCCCAAAAGTAACATAGACTGGAAAGGAACAGAGACAACATACAAAAACAGTGACTTTATGGTAATACAAAGGCACTAAATTCATATCTTTTAATAATTACTCTGAATGTAAATGGGCTAAATGCCCCAATCAAAAGACACAGGCTATCAGACTGGATGAAAAAGCAAGACCCATCAATATGCTTCCTGGAAGAGACTCATTTTAGACCCAAATATACCCCCAAATTTAAAGTGAGGGGGTGGAAAACCATTTATCATGCTAATGGACATCAAAAGAAAGCTGGGGTGGCAACCCTTATATCAGACAAATTAGATTTTAAACCAAAGACCATAATAAGAGATGAGGAAGGAGAGGAAGGACACTATATCACAATTAAAGGGTCTGTCCAACAAGAAGATCTAACAACTGTAAATATTTCTGCCCCTAACATGGGAACAGCCAATTATATAAACCAATTAATAACAAAATTAAATAAACAGATCAATAATAATACAATAATAATCAGGGATTTTAACACCCCACTCACTTCAATGGACAGATCATCTAAGCAGAAGATCAATAAGCAAACAAGGCTTTGAATGACACACTGGACCAGATGGATGTCACAGAAATATTCAGGGTATTCCATCCTAAAGCAACAGAATACACTTTCTTCTTGAATGCACATGGAACAGTCTCCAGAATAGATCACATATTGGATCACAAATCAGGTCTCCTATGTTTATATGTATAAATTTATATATGTAGATTTATATGTATGTTTTAATGTATTTTATAAATATATTCACATATTCATATATATTAATATATAAAGAAAGATTTTCTGTCATAAGAAAAGAGACACTTCCTATGTTATAAATGGAACATACAGTAGATATAGGTATAGATCCTTTTCACAAATATTATCATACTATAAAAACTTTCTACAATTTGTTTCTTCACTTATCAACTTATTTTCTTTTCACATTGGCATATAAATGACCAGGAAACATTAAAGTATGCACAGTAATTAGCCATGTGGGTTCTGATGCTGTTCTGCTTCAGTATCTGTCCTACAACCTCAGACAAGTCACTTTACTTCTTTATATTTTCCCTGGTAAATGGAGCTAATAATAACAATACCTATGAAAATTAAATAAGACGAGCTTAGTAAAGACTTGATTAGCTGTTGTCATTCTTTTAATTCTTTTTAATACTTGAATAAAGTTACATCTTATTGATCTACTATAATTTATTTTACTAGGCCTCTATTAAACACATAGATCATTTCCAAATTTTTCCTATTTGAAACAGTACTGCAAAGAATGACACATATCTTTGCATACATGAACAAACTTAGTTGGAGGATAAATTCTTAAAAGTAGAACTGCTGGGGTGCCTGGGTGGCTCAGTCGGTTAAGCAGTTGCCTTCGGCTCAGGTCATGATCCCAGGGTCTTGGGATCGAGCCCCGCAGCAGGCTCCCTGCTCAGTGAGAGCCTGCTTCTCCCTCTCCCTCTGCCAGCCGCTCTGCCTACTTATGCGTTCTGTCTCTCTGTCAAGCAAATAAATAAAATATTTTAAAAAAAAAAAGTAGAACTGTTAAGTCCAGAGGCAAATGAATTTTAAGTTTTGATACATATTGCCAAAAAATTCTCCAAAACACAGCCATCTCACCAACAATATATTAAAGGGCCTGTCTTATCTACTCTACTCCATGAATATTTTAGTTTTTATTTATTCATGAACTTTAGCATAATAAAAATGAAATGAATTATTTTTATTAAATATAACAAAGAATAGTGTTCCTTATAATGGACAAAGCCTGTGAAGAGGGTCTGAGACTGTCTCAACAATATATCATATTTAGTTCTCTTAGCAATATCAAGTTAGGAAGTCAGACTATTAAGTCAGACACTTAAGATCAAATTCTTATTTGCCTCTTCTAGCTCTGAGACCTTGGATGCTTAAATACTTTCAGTGTCCTCCTCTAAAGAAAAGGGATAAAAATATTACTTATCTCACAGTGTTTCCAGGATGATTAAATGAGGTATAATTCATAATACATATTTAGCACCATATCTGAATATGGAAAACAGTCAACAAATAGCTGTTATTTCTCAGGAAATTTCTAGTAGGTAAATTTTTAAGTGTGGAAGTTTCCCTTCCATTTCTATTTTGGGTAACAGTTTCAGAGGAATAGGTATTAACTCTTCTTTATATGTTTGGTAGAATTCCCCTGGGCTGCCATATGGCCCTGGACTTTTGTTTGTTGGGAGATTTTTGATTACTGATATAACGTCTTTGCTGGTTATGGGTCTATTCAAATTTTCTGTTTCTTCCTGTTTCGGTTTTGGTAGTTTATATATTTCTAGGATTTTATCCATTTCTTCCAGATCGCCTAATTTGTTGGCATATAGTTGCTCATAATCTTCTCTTATATTGTTTATATTTCTGTAGTGTTGATTGTGATCTCTCCTCTTTTATTCATAATTGTATTTATTTGGGTCCTTTCTCTTTTCTTTTTGATAAGTCTGGCTATGGTTTTATCAATTTTATTAATTCCTTCAAAGAACCAAATCCTAGGTTCATTGATCTGTTCTACTGGGGGTTTTTTTCTATATCATTTATTTCTGCTCTAATCTTTATTATTTCCATTCTTCTGCTGGCTGTAGGCTTTATTTGCTGTTCCTTTTCTAGCTCCTTTAGGTTTAATGTCAGGTTGTGTATTTGATACTTTTCTTGCTTCTTGATGTAGGACTGTACTTCCCTTTTTAGACCAGCCTATCTTCAACTCTAAATCAAAAGACTAATGAGAGTCACACCAGTCAGAATTGGCTAAAACAACACAAGAAATAACAGATGTTGGCGAGGATGCAGAGAAAGTGGAATCCTCTTACACTGCTAGTGGGAATGTTGGTGGGAGTGCAATCACTCTGGAAAATAGTATGGAGGTTCCTCAAAGTTAAAAATAGAACTACCCCATGATCCAACAATAGCACTACTAGGTATTTACCCAAAGGATACAAAAATACTAATTCAAAGAAATACATGCACCCCGATGTTTATAGCAGCATTATCAACAATAGCCAAATTATGGAAAGAACCCAAACGTCCATGGACTGATGAATGGATACGGAAGAGGTGGAGGGGAGGAGATAAGATGCAGAGAAGTAAGGGGACCCTAGGCTTCCCTCAGCCCTTGAACACAGCTAGAGCAACATCAAATCATTTTGAACAACTAGGAAATCAATATGAGGGCTAAGAAAACAATCTGCACAATTGGTGGAAGAGAAAGTAGCAGATGCGAGGTTCAAGAGACGTGAACTGGGGAAGAGAAAAGCCACGGTGC